CCTCGTCCATTATAGATGCTCCAAAGCCGACGTAGCTCGTGACAAACTCCTCCACACTTCCTTTTGCGGGCGGGCATCTGACTCTACAGGGAATTATTTTCTCGAGGCCGCAGCGAATTGTGACATCACACCACAACGTAAAAGTGCCCAGGATACCCGTCGAGAGCAAGTTTTCCACGTCCGGATCAGTCCCATTCGCGTGTTTTCTCGGTGAGGGGTATCATTCAAGATACAATGTTGAGGCCGGCGTAGTTCGGATACGTAGCACCCGGGAAAATGTGCCCGACCAGTTCAATAGCATGGTAGAATTTTCGCTAAACGATCAGTAAGCTTGCATTACAGTTCGAGCAAGGCCTTGGACAACCCCGCACATGGGACCCAACCTCGGTGTGATTCTTCAAGATGCGTTGCTGTTGTTGTTGTTGTCCTACTGCCCTCGGCGGCAGATGTACCTGTCTCTCAGCGTTTGTTAGCTCAGCATCGATATTGAGATGCCTAGTTGCTTCTCATCGCCGTCGGGAGTGCGCGGTAGGCGCGAAAAGCCCTCGTCGCGCTCGGAATTCGCCTGTTAATGTAGTGATAAGATGGCGAAAAGTCTTATTAGTGATGACGCTTATCGAAGTACAGTCCTAGTGACTATGCATCTTCACTTGAACAGGATTTCGGGACACATGCGAAGATGTGATGGAAATGGGCACGAAGGATATAGTAATGCCAGATTCTAAAGAAGAGGGTTCGACTCTTCCTCCCTTTTTTTAACTAGTCTTGCTAGGAACAAGCATGCTATATGGGACCCAGGCAATGCGAGTCTTGTCTCGACACTAGGCTCCGATCATTGATCGGCACACGTCAACATTCGTCTTAAGAGCACTGTATTGGGATGCTTTAAACGAGAATATAACAGCGATTAAGATGACATAATGCGAACAATGGCCGTATCCATGAGTTAGTGGCGCATCAGTGGCTTGGTAACCGTCTACAGCTTCACATTTGTGCATATCGATGGTAGCTTAAGGACATCGTAAGGCCTTGCTTAGAAACGAGACACTGCATTATCAATGTTACCAAATATAGGTTACCCTAGAAAGAGGAATTGGCCAGTAAATTATTACAGAACCGCGCGTTCTTCTGCAGACAATTAGCTACATTTTCTCACACCTTGATCTAAAGTGGCGCAAGCACGCAGGAAGTAGAGTAATCTCCAAAGCCTATTTACCGTCTTCTAGTAGTAAAACTAAGACTTAACGCATCGCAAAAAGTCAACCAAGGGAAACACCACGACCATGTCTATTAGCCCACTCACTATTACAGCACTACAAAGGCATTCGCTCCTGCCGAGTTGAATTGGATGTTGATCTTTAAAGATACTCTATAGACTTCTAGTGGCTTTCGGTGTTTGAGACTCTGGCCTTCAACTAATTACTAAAGGTTCAGAACCAGCAGGATGGGCAATAATACAGTTGAGATTTGAAATCAGTCAACGACGGAAGCATTCCGCGTGTTTCCGCCATCATAAAACTTGTCGTCTGTAGCGAATTAATAGTAGAATATACGGTCATCAGCCTACCAGTGTGACATGGTACTGCGTTTGGGATGCCCTAGCCCGCTGCCCTATGAAGTAAAGCATTTCGTATGCTGGAACAACAATGCTCTAAGACGTGCTTAAAGATGCAAGTTGATAGTAAGCTACTTTACTAGGAACATTTTATAATTTATGTTAGTATATCGTAACGAGGAGCTCCTCAATGGTCTAGCCTTGCTTTGTTTGGGGAGTACTGATTCTTCCGTGACTACAATATATGTCGCCATCACCTTCATATAAACCATTGTACGATATTTGATGGTCCGGAGGGATTTCATTGCTCTAAAAGGTCGGGAATAGGGGAAGTTAGCCTATATGATGTAATGTTGAATGTATTGGGTCGCTTTATTGTTGATCGTACGAAGGCCAATCCTTAGAACAATGTTTCTATTGGTATATTCTGTATAGCAGTAGTGCCTATAAACCACTCTTTATTGGGTAAACCCTTTCTGATTTGAGCCGGACGGGCTTGGCTCAATTGCATTTTTACCTTTCAAATTTTCTGCAAAGGCTTCATAGCGGGATTCTTTCCATATCCAGGTGTGTAGAAAGCCAGAGGGTCATTCGTGCCATATTCAACCCTTTAAAACACGTATCGCTAGAGGTAACAGACTTAGTGTAAAGAATAAATTTCTACGCTTCGTTACATAGGTACCATTTATCCGTTGATTTAGTCCAAGTTTTGTACTAGTGGTTCATCCGTGTCAACGAAGCTAATACCAATGTTTTGCCTTGAATTAATACCTGAATGTGATTTATCTTGTGGAATCAAGGGATTAAGTATATAGACACTACTTATGTCGTTGACAGCAGGATATAATAGGACGGAAAACAATGGTGACATTACATGTTACCAGCACTGATAGAGTTAATTAGATTTAAGTGGGATCCAGGAGGTGCGGCAGTTAATATTTTTCGCTATTAGCGAGCTCTTGTCGCCTCTGGTCACGATCCTGCCGCCCTATCCGTGGTGTAACATATTGCTCCAAAGTTTTCTGTGCAAAACTTTACATGGTTGCGTTGCTATTCAGCCACTATTCTCGATACATGCACAGCGGTAATCATAGAATAGAGCGCTTTGGTTCTCGCTAGTAATGTGAATATTCTGAGTACTGGTGCCAATAACGAAAGGTACTCTGTCGGCGCATAAGCGCGCTCCTTAGCCACCAGGATAGTTTGTCATAGCGCCTCGGACAGTTAAGCACACCGCATGGATGATCAGCTCGGATGAAACATTCCTTAATCTAAGGTCTTTGCTAAGAGCTTAGTTCCTACTAACATTCTGCTTCTCCGATGATGGATAAATACACATTGCATCGCAGAGCATCTTTACAATGTGGGATGAGCAGCAGGTAAACACCCAAATCTGCCTACACCCTTGAGACGATAATTAAGCCAAGCAACTTGAGCAAAGGGCCCCGAAATTCTGAGTCTCCTAGAATTGAGGAACCATCAACTCATCTTCTAGGTTATTGCGGGTAATATTATCTGAGGTAGCATTGAAGTCTCGAAAATAGAATAGACGGTGACAAACGGCTGTTAAATTTGCCGATCGAATAGGGGTCGCAGAAGGCAATCCACATGGGTGAGAAGGCATCGTGCTGTCAATATACTCGCTTAGCGGTGACCCTAGGGGTGCTGATATCACCATATTGGCTTTTAATGTATGCTTTTTGCGTCGGTTGGGGTAGGCGGGTAAGGGTTGTCATGAGCATTTTAAAGTGGTTGACGGAAACCGCTAGACTGCCAGTGACCTTGTACCAAGGGCTGAGGGCTCTCAGCCTCCAGCTCTACAATATATAGGTACCTCTCTTACATCTACTAAACTGACTCCTCACCCCCGTTCCAGCAGCCCGGTTTCTGGCTCGGTGTCAGGCTACCTATCGTGCAGGATAAGCTACCTTACAGTATGCCATGCACGCTAGGAATGTATCCCAGCAAGCTAAAGCTAAGTCAGATCTATTCTGCGAGGAGAACCTGGTTCTCTCAAGCCCGGATTACCCCCTGGGGTACCATTAGACAGGGAAGTCGATCGCGAGACAAGGCGGCTCGGGCGGTTGAAGCGGTTGAATTATGGGGATACGTTGCAATCGATCAATGTGACCGTTCTCCAAACAGTCTGCATTCAGCACGACACAGCTGGCCTGCATGGTGGGTATGAATGATCTTGATTAACGAAGATCTGATGGGACGTCATAGTGATAAGGTATTGTACTGTTGTGTGGATGAGAGGTTTTCTAGCGCGAGGAAAGAGCGCACATCGCAAGCCTGACCTAAGCTCTGGTTGAGGCATTTAATATAACAAGGGCTTGGAATTTAAGCTATTCACATTACAATGATCACCTAGGGCTGCAGGAGTCCTTGCCCAACTAATTCCTTCTTGGCCTTTGTGGCTTGACTCAACTCTATATATAATTGGTCTGCCAGCCCTGGCTGCTTAGGTCTCATTGGCTTCTTTTATGAATCGAAGTCTGTATAACCTCATTTTTCGATATTGCCTGAATGTCTTTGAAAACCATGAACAGCCTGCAATGACCTTTCGTACGGCCGAAGCGCAAGGAGTGTTGCATGCTCAGCTTGTATGCGTGTAACATTTAACGTCTCTTATCGCAATGACTTCGTACAACTGTGATTTGCGGCTGATTCCTGGCTGCTGCCTACAAATTCCTTGATGTCACATTCAGAATACGGCAGCAATAATACAACGAGGAATTACCCACCGCTTTCGTTCGTGCCATGTGACGCTTGGCAATAATTCTTTCATGTGTGGACTGATTTGGAGTTTATTTCCAATAGGTAGCTGCTAGAACATTTGAGATGTGCTACACGCGCCGCGGAAGTGACTTTTACAGCCTTGTCATCTTCCTAATAGTAAGTCCAATACTCTGTCGATGGTTAGTGTGATGTTCCTTTTAGGAACTGGGGGTCGAAGCGCAGGGGCAGAAAGCATAGGTTGGTAGCATCAGCCACTTTTTTATGACTGGTCAATTACCACCGATCACGATCTCGATTGCACTACCTCGGGTAAGTGTTATCAATCGGAGCCCGTTGCGGTATCGATTTCTGCATATGGGTTGAACAGCCGGTACTTCACTGGCGAACGCTACCCGGAAGTGTATATTCTTGACGCGACGCAGACTTCTAATGGAGCAAGGAGACTAATCGATTGCCCATGCTACTAATATTTCAACACTTCTTATACTTTTTGTTTGAAGACAATTGAAGAAAGCTAAGCAGTACTTTAGGGAGGGCAGGGAGTCGGAAGTCGTGAGGTTGAACAAAGGAGGGTTAGGTGACCTAAGTAGATAATTAGCCAAGGATCACCACATGGCACATGGGGCACAAGGAGCAGGGATAGGTATTGTAGAAAATCAAGGTGGAGGTCACCAGCCACTCTTCAGCCAATTAGACTGTATATCGAAAGCCGTTCACCAAGCTCTCGGATCCCGGCCCGCCTCCGAAGATAGCCGTTCAAGCTTCTTAGCACAGAATGAAAGGCTTCTCGGCGAAGCAAATTTACCTACCTACTAGACGTTCGTCTGAAAGAGTGGGTTTGTTCCCCACCCAACTGTCAGACAGGTTGTCTTGTTCCTCCCTTTCGCAGTCAGAACGTATTACCTGAGATTATTCAAACAACGCGCCGTTGAAAAAAGATTTAAAATTTTCAACGTGGCGCTTCCAATCCGGGAAATATTTCCACTATTCTGAGCCCAAGTATCCAATAAAAGACCAGGACTACGTTACACATCTAACGACACGCGTTGTTTGAGATAAATTCAGGTAACACGGTACGTTGGTTACTTACTACAGTATGTCCCAGGCCCTTAGGCGCTACGGAGTCCATAACTAAAATAAACTAAGCTATATGAGACAGACGTTCGGAAAAGCGCCACCAATCATTGCAATCTATTGCCGTCATGCTTTTCTCCCGGAAGAGCGCCGGAACCGTACCGGACACCGACGATGGCGAAAAAGACGGATGTCATGAGCAGGAGCGGCATCCGAATAGACACACTAACGGTCTTGTGTCTTTACTTACTGTCGAGGATGGCGTTGTGTACAAACCCGAGGCCCAGGAACACACGCGCTGGTACCAAAGGCTGCTAGACGTCGGAGTCGAAGAGAATGGCATTAAACCGGTGCCCGTTGAGAAGCGAACGAACACGCAGTACAACAATCTATTCACCGTTTTTTTCACGGGCTTGCTCTGCATCTTACCGTAGGTACTGGCAGACCTCGAGTTTGGTTTCTGAGACTCATAATATGTTTTAGACTGCCCACGGGAATGCTAGCAACGACTGTGTTCCAGCTTAGTCTGCGCGATGCGTCTCTGACTATCTTGTTCTTTTCTGCCTTCTGCACTGCTGCCCCAGCGTTTATGGGATGTGGCGGCTATAAAACCGGATTGCGGCAGATGATCCAGGCTCGCTACTCCTGGGGGTAAGCGTACGCCCATTGCTTTGTCACGATCTTTCGTCTCCTTCGTTCTCCAATTCTAATCCAGGGAGTTAGTCTATACATTGTCACGATAATCCTCGTTTTAAATGCTGCCACAGTTACAGGCTTCTCTATTGTTGCCGCAATTGTAAGTGGACAGACGATTGCTACCATTAACCCCGGAAATGTAAGCGTGACGGTTGGCATTGTCAGTAAGTATACTTCCATTGCAGCTTCTCGCAGCAAATTCTGACCTTGAAACTGTAGTCGTTATCCTAGCGAGCTTTGTGCTTTCATTACTAGGATACCGAGTCTTACACATCTGGGAACGCTGGCAATGGCTTCCCAATCTCGTAGTTCTCACCATTACTGTTGGTGTCGGCGGAAAGCACCTTGTTCACCAGCAAGAAGTCCCCCCAGCCACGGCGTCCCAGGTACTGTCATATGGAGGATTAATGGCCGGTTATTTCATTACCTTTGGAGGCACCGCCTCGGACTTTTCCATATATCATGATCCTAAAGCACCTCTGTAAGCATATCACTACTTTTATACTCTGAAACCCAAGCCACTAATATCAAGGTAGACGAAAGGTCTTCACATACATTTATCTCGGAATCTTCACACCCTCAGTCCCCCTACTAATACTGGGCGCTGCCATGGGGGGATCTGTGTCTGTTGTTGCAGGCTGGGAAGAGGTAGGGCTCATGGCTCCGATTTCACGCCCTTCGCTCACACATGTCTTACTTTAGGCTTACGAATCCTACGGTACCGGGGGTATTTTAGCAGTGATGCTCCAACCAGTGGGCGGATTCGGAAAATTCGTGTTAGTCATTCTGGCGTTATCCGTCATAGGCAATATCGGCATTTCGATGGTACGTATCAAACCTTTCTGTAACCTGGAGTTTGTAGAAAGATATATTGTCTTCCAGAGCTAACTGTTGCCACAGTATGTGAAATTTTGATCTGAAACGTGACTACCAGAATCTGTGTGATTCTAGAAAGTATGTAATACGGAACTAGGCTAACAGATTTTGATCTGGCAGGTACCCAGTGGCGTTAAACCTACAAATGCTGGTTCCAGCCTTCACGAAGGTGCCACGTTTCATCTTCACCCTAGCCGTCACGGCTTTAATGATTCCGCTATCGATTGCCGCATCGCGCGCATGGGAAGAGTCGCTAGAGAATTTTCTCGCGGTCATTGGATATTGGGCAGGCTTCTTCGATGCCGTAATGATCGAGGAAGCTGTTGTATTCCGTCGCCTGAATTGGGAATCATATGATCACTCGATTTGGAACGTTGGTCGTAAGCTTCCATCTGGTATCGCAGCTCGTATGTAACCACTGGAGTCATTTTCTTCCCGTTCTAGTTACTCTCGGAGGCAATAGTTGCCTATGAGGAGCACAAGTGTGTCTCAGGAGTATGCAGAACTCCCAAACTTTTACTTGAAAGAGTAGTTACTGACTTAGCGGTTGTAGTGGTGGCTTCATTGTTGTCGCTCGGACTAGTAATCCCCGGTATTAACGAGGTCTGGTTCGTTGGGCCATTCGCAAAGACAACGGGCGATATTGGTTTTGAATTGGCCTTTTTCGGTACTGCGTTGTTTTACTTGCCTTTGAGGTGGCTTGAAATCAAGTGGAGGGGCCACCTATAACCACAGTGGAGGACAATACGCATTATGTAGTTTTTGCTAGATGGAACGAAGAAGGTATATTCAGAGGAAGAACAGTTGTCATGGTACCATAGTTGAGTGTAGATATGTAAGGTCTCGAACTGATAACGTTGTTTACCTTTTGGTAGCGTAGCGGTTATAGTTACTATTACGCTCCCATGCTCGTTCCGTGACAACAGCCACAAAGATGGAAAATTTCAACGGATTGTGGAGGACACCACTGGTATTCACCCAGCATAAACATTTCGAGTATTAGTTAAACATCCCATATATATTCTTCCAAGGGTGATGCCGAAATTAACACAATCGGAGTTGAGAATGTGTTCATGGTGACAACGAAAAACCAAGTTGTCAGTGGTCTCAGGGCAGAGCAACAAAGAGATATATTGTATATAGTTAGAGAAGTCAGAATGCCTTCAGACTTCTGACCTTTTAAGACCTTGTGCTACAATGAGAATCTTACTGTATACCTTGTACAGTCCTTCTAACATAAGTAGTGTCGCCTGTCCTTCTTGCCTCAACACACACCGCAATTATGTGTGGGTGAATTGAGGCGAGTATTCAGCAGTCGACATAGAAGAAACCCTGATAACAAGGCTTTAAATTGAGGCTATTTACCGTATAATAACCTGATCGAGCTGTCAACGTCCCTATGCTGCATTCACATACTTTCTTAACTCTAGTAGCTAGCTTTAGTTATTTTAATCTAGATGCCAGCTAAATTATCTCGTATAAATGAGGGTTGGATAGCATATCTTCGGATACGAAGATATGTCTGATTTCCATTAAGAATATAGCCGAGTCCCGCGGGATATACACGTCCAAAGTGCTCGCACGGGCAGCACATGTAACGCTAGGTATCAAATTCTATGAATCATCGAATGAGTGTATTTACTTGATGAACGAATTATACCACGAAGCTAAGGCCCCCAGTGACAAAGTGTTACTAAAGGCGCTACCTGTTGTCACACGAGCAAAGAAGGTACTCTGTAAATAGTAGCAGCAGCAGGCAGGATAGTTACACATAAGGCACACGCAACAACACAAGTCATTTGCACCCCGTACTTGAGATCATGACACTTGTGATACTGAGTTTCACAGGACCAATCAGGGAATACAATGAACAGCCCACTTACGCAGTCCTCAGCCTTCACTATAGCCCTATGCTACATCAGAACCTTATGTTAAAACAGGCAATGTGAGCTCATAATACAAGAAGAGCATAGCGATCGATAGCCCATCCAATTTCCCCTTTGAATTTTCATAATCCTGAAAGTAATAGGAATTATTTACACTGTTTAGATACAGTCGTTTCAGTGAGTGATATTACAGATATGATACTTTATTTGTAGACCAAACGGGAGTGCAGCCTCGCGTTCATTGTAGCACTTAGGTATGACGAGGTGATTTAGTCCTCCCTCCCTGAAACGTGCTCGTCTCGGGTTCAACTACTTAGTCCACATCCATTCTGCTTGAATATCCATGTTACACAATGACAGTTTAATTGTCATAACATGTGTTACCAGTTGTTTGAGACGCAAGTTGCAGGTACCGTGACATTTCAGATGAGACAAGGCTTCATCCTTTGTTGGTCAAATAGTTATAGCCTACTACAAAGAGAGAACATGTCCCTAACGGAGGAAAGCTAAGTGTACGATTTATCCTACATCTCGGAGCACCAATACACAAAGACATAGACAATGCATTCTAGGAATGTTCTATTGTGAGAGGAACACAATAGCTGACACACAAAGACTCGCAGGACAATAGGATGGATCTTTCGACGGTTCTTACCTATATATTGCACCCTCTGTCGTATTTCAACAGGTTGCGTGGACAGCATATATACCCGAGTCAAGTACTATTCAACGCGTCACACGGCCAAGGCCACACAGTAGAGCCCTTGTCACACAGCCGAGCAGACTACGCATCACAGAAGCAACTGGAAGACCGAAGCGTCCCCTCCTTTCACTCAAAAGCAAAATGTTCAGTATAAGTGTTCGCTCGATCTCGAGAGCCATAAGTGGCATCATCTGCCTCGCGATAGTCATCTTACTAAGTCTCCAAGCGCAGTTCTTAATCCCCATCATAACGGAAGATGGGTCTCCATTCACACCAGCAGCCCGCACCAGCTCGGCCCCCCAAAATTACTACACCCTCCTAAACATCACCGTAAACGCCACGGAGAGAGATATCAAGCGCGCTTACCACAGACAGGTTCTGTTCATCCACCCCGACAAGCTGCAGAGGCTCAATGCCTCTGTACGAGAGGAGGGAAAGCGCCGATTCGACGCGATGACGCAGGCGTTTGAGGTCCTCACGAGCGATCGTCGGTGTAAATATGATTTGGATGTCATGGGCGTTGGCCTTGGCCGATACTCGCGCTGCTTGGAGGATCGGTGGGAGCGGAGACGTGCAGAACGGGCACGAAAGGTAGCGGCGGAACACGAGCAGGAAGCAGTTAGAGAGGAAGAAAGAGAGGGTTACCAAGGTATTTAAAAAGTTCTGAAGTCATTTATCTCCTTCGTCGTTGGGTTTAAGATCTTACACGAGTTGAAATTCCTCCTCTTTCTGGTAGTTGGGTACTGACCCAAAGCGGGTAAACAGCTGAAATGGAGCCACCGTATTCTCCTGAAGGCTTGGTAGCTATTAAGTCACTCTGGACTTGGTTGACAGAGGCCTTTTCCGTCGCTTACCGGATGCTCGTTGATCTAGCTAGGTTTTTCAGGCAACTGTGGTGAATACAAGTGGTGTCGAGCATTCAAATTTGTTCTTTCAGGGAGTAGAATCCAGTTTGCTACTGGCTGTTTGACTCCTACCCTTCCCCACCCTCCCCTTCTCTCTGTTGAATCGTTTTCGCCTCTTTGACCCGGAGTAAGGGACAGTGATCCTATAATCTGTAAGCTGTAATTTATTTGATCAATGTAATAAAAGCTCGTTAAAGCCAAAGTAGAACTCTAGAAGATGACAAATAAGTTAACCTTGGCCCTCGAGATCAAGGGCATCAATTCAAAAGTCCAGAATTTCCTTTCCGAGTAAAATTTTTCTCTACCTAGTCTACCTGGGAACAAGACCCGATGTTTGACTTGCTGGAAGCCGAAATCAGTTTCTCTTCCCCTGTTCATTTCTCTAGACGCCTGAGTCAATGCTAATAGACGCAAAGCCAAAATGGAAGATGGAGATCAAAGAGTATCATACAGACGTAATGACGTATAAGGTATGGGTATTCGTTGCCACATCAATGCTCATGAAAATTCCAGCCGACGTTTTCGTCTCAAATAGACAAGAAAAAGATTCCCACATTTCACAACCATCGTCTTCAGGTCTTCAATGCGGCATATAAGACTCATGGAGACACCAGAGACAAGTAAATGGACATCCATCGAAATTGATGAAACTTGTCAAGGATGATAAGATGATGGCATCCAGATCACATAGCACCTCCGTTTCCACCTTGTTGCGCGCCAAAAAAGAAACCATCGAAGAGATCAACCTGCTGCCCTTCGCTAAAATCGTGATGCATCCCCTCCCAACCAATGCCAAAACCCATATCCATCTGCATATCTGGATTATTGAAGATATCACCACCAGACTGATCTTGGAGATTTTGGAGGAAGTCCATGCCTTGAAGATCAGATAAGTTCAATGCACCTGGTCCTGGAGTAAAAGTCGCCGGTGGTGTGCGTAGAATATTGTAATTCGAATTTGGATTGCTCTGAGGAGTGTACTGCTGATGCGTTGATTTTGGTGTTAGGCTAGAGACAGATCCTGGTGAATTTACTTGCGAACGATGGGAGGGCAACAGAATAGGGTCAATAGCCGAATTATCTGGTACGTTTCCAACGTCAGGTAGACCTCCAGTAAGGGTAGAATTGGGTAATGGCCGACCCATGCTATAACCATCATGCTCAGTTTTAATATTTGGCATGTTGATGCGGTAAGAAGGTGCTTGTGTGGCCGGCTGCACAGCTGTCATTTGAGCCACGGGTTTTTGTGCAGCATAGGGGTCATGGGTCGAAGGATCATACACTGTTCCTGACCGCGAACCAGTACCACGCTGATCTATGGGATGATGGGGATGATTCGACTTCTCGCGGTTTGCTGTGGCTTCTCTAGCAGAGAGGTAATCTATTCTGTCACTACCTCCTTTCGATCCACGCGTATGCCGATTCAAGACTTGGCCAAACCCACCACTTGAGTTTGCCATTTTGATAGTAGCTTTTGCTGTTCGATCAAAAGCATCACGGCACGCCTCCGCAGGCGGGCACTTATCGATAAGGTCACTGAAGACTGAAGTGGCGGCCAGGATAGTGAAATCAACCTCGTCCATAGTCTGCATCGAAATTAACAAAAAGTTTCACTAAATAAAGTACGGGTACTTACAAGGCGACTCCTGACTACAAGAGAATGCCATATTGCATAGAGGTACGATATCCCTGCCATGAAGAGATGGTGTGTGGCGAGATAGGTATAGTTAACAAGGCCTTGTAAGTGCAATTGCCTGTAAAGGCGCAAGATCTTTTGACCTGCTTCGGCGACCTTAACATAAACTCTTTCTTGGTCTTCTTGCCGCTCCTCAGAGTAGACTGATGGACTATTGACCTCCTTGGATGTATGGTATTCGCTCTCGAACATTGCTGGAACACTTAGGCTTTGCCGATAAAGCATGATGATTGCCTGCCAGTAATTGAGCTCCAGGAACTCTGGTGAGAAAGCCACTCCGGAATCCTGTTTGGTGGGCGCAGAGTTCTTCCACGAGTACAATCGTTCATCAATATTCTTCCTCCAACTTCTGAAGGAGTCGAATTTGGAGAGAAAGGGTGAAGGCAGCTGAGTATGCATGTACTCATTCCGTAAATTTTGACCGTTGAACCTCGCTGTTTGCGCTTGCTGGTACTGTAATACCTGCAGAATTTCAGATTGCAGCAGACGAAGTCGTAAGTAATGTTTAGCGACGACTTTGTATGTAGGCTCGCCATCGATTGGAGTCTTAGCGATACCTGCGGGCGTAATATATCGGTCTTCAAGCATGGATGGAAACTCCGTAGTTATGACTTGATCAGACACCCCAAACGGGCGTCCAACGCAGGTGCTCACAATGCGGTCAAAAGCATACGTGCACCACCAGAGCCTCCTTCGCAGATCACGTACATATTCGCGTCGACCCCTCTCTCGCAATACAGCTTCGCGCGATTTGCCACCTGTCTCTTGGATGTTGGGAATGCCCCTGGGTTCACCTAAGTCAAATTCAACGTCCTTTCCGTCTTCATAGTACAAACCTAAATCGATTGCTAATCTCACAGCTACGCCGACGATGTACCTATAGGTCGTTAGTCCACACTCGTCATTAGCTAGCTCAAATAAATAAGAAAGCATACCATAACCCAGGGGGTACTGGTCGAAGCAGGGCAAAACTGGCCAAGAGAAGGACGGCCTGAAGTTCCTCAAGTCCACCACCGTTTAGGCAGGTTTCCAGATGGACAATAGCACTGGCGTGATATTCCTCGGGTTGAGCCTGCTTCTTCTCCTCACCAGAGACTCTTGAGGTGGTTTGGCTATCCATGATGATCCCGCCACCAATGGCGAACACCATATTCAGGATGTAGAGCTCCCTGGGACCACGTATCCTACCCTCATCTGCGTACGCTTGCTCAAACATTTGCATGAAATCCACACGGTGAAGAAGCGGTATTTGAGGGTTTGCATGTTCGAAATACAACTCGACTAGTTTCAAGGCTAAGCCCTTGTCGGGGAATGGTGCTGGACTAATAGTTGGACGTGTATGAAGACCGAAGAATGAGTCGCGCATTGAAGTACCCCCAGTCACATCTCCATTCCCACCTGTGAATTTATACGGACGTATTCCCCCCTTGTCTGAGGTTGAACGATGGTCTCCAACAGAAGACTGTACAGCGGCGAACACAACGCGCGCAAAGGAGACGCCATTAGCAGACCCAAGGTGCTTCGGCGCCGCACTGCTTCCCGTTCGCAATATCTTGTTGGGCCGCCCAGGATCGTCGCTATTCTGAAACGACTGAGGGATACCTGAAGCCTCAGCAGCTTCAGAAAGCATGGAGAGCGCGCCTTCGTTAGGCGATCGAGCATGCCCCCCATCACTACCCGGCCGTGAACAATACTCCAAGTTCTCGGCTGGGGGGAATGGTATATTTTGGGCGCGGAGCAGAGCCTCCAACTGACTGACGCGGGTTTCGAGGTAGTATACATAGCTCGTGGGCAGTCAGTTTCCCGCCAAAGATTTTCGGGGTCTATCTAGCTCTAACTCACCTACGGGGGATTTCCCTCTTAGTTATGGGATCATATCCGACACAAGGCACTCTTGCCTTCTCACAGCTCGCGCAGCTGGGCAATTTTTGATCACAGCGATTCTTACGTAACCGGCATCGATTACATGCACTGACGTTTCGAAAACTGCTGCTACCTTGGCCGGATTTGGCCCCGCCATGTCCCATTCCATCGTGCGCTTGTTCCGCAGAAGGAGAAATTGGGCCTGTAGAAGCAGACGTCGGTGAGTGCTTGATTTGGGGCGGCGAGGAGGGGCGCGGACGTTTCGGAGGATGAGGATGCGGATGCGGCGACGTCGGCGTGCCCGGAGAGGTAGTATCAAGATTCATTCTGCGACTACCAACAATTCTTTGGCCGAAGAAGGGGACGACAAACACTCGCTATCGCTATATATCAAAGTAAAGCGGCCGCAACAGGGTTCGGGACGGCCAATTTCAACGATTCGAAGCAATGAATACAACAACACAAGAGACAATGGTCAGGCTCAATCTCTTGCTCGCAGTGCATGCGCGCGCACGGAAGCACCGTCCGCACGCACTTCAGTGATGCGAAAGGGGTCACGGTCAAGTTGCGCGCAGCTTGGTAGGTAGTTGGAATTACTTGCAGAAGCTGGGCGTTGGGTTCATTTGCTCCATCTCTTATATCCTGCAGACTTTTAGTTTCTCCAATTCTCGGCTATTGACGACAACCACGAAAGCGATCAAAGCGAGTCGTGCGTATGAATCCGATTCCCAGCAAAAAGACTCGAATGAGGCGGCATGCGTATCTGAGCCGTATACACAGTGCGCTGTGCAAATATCGGTGTTCCGGCGCGGTGCCGTGTGATGTGATGCGAAGGCGATGCGATGCGGGCGGGGGGAGGAGGAAGGCTGGCCTAGCTACCGAAGATTGGTGGTTGACGAAGAATTGGTTGGAACGCTGACGCACTCTACTCGCTTATATTCGAGATGGATCTTGGTAAGCTGTACGGAGCGGTACCGCGGCGTGTGCCCTGGTGGTGACAGGACTGCTGCGTATCAATAAGCAAGCAATAGATGCTGCGGTCGGTAAGTAGGTAGTAGTCGAGGTAGTAGTCGGTAATATCTACATGTACCGAGCTGTGGGTACCTTGGACGGGCGGGCAGGCTAGGTGAGAAGAAGATGATAGGTATTGTATAAACTAAGGAGATACCGTGTATGAGCAGCAGCCTTGGAAATGAGGCGGCGGCGAGTGTAGAGTACCGTACGTCGAAGCAAGCTCCTTTCTTTGCAATGCGTCGTAGGTAGTAGTTTGGCGAAACGCAAGGATACCTCAGGCTGAGATTCCTAGCTCGGTAGGTAGGGAAGGGGCGGGGAAACGGGGAAACGGGGAAGCCTACCTACCTGCTGTGTATGTGCACACCTACCTAGCAGCAGTGTTTGTTGCACGTGAAGGAACTTGGATGGAAATGATTGAGGGATTGCGAGGGATTGGATGCAAGCAAGGGATGCCATATGGGGTTCGAGGGGTACCTACTACTACTATGTAAGTAAGTATGTATATACCTATGTATGATATCGTGTAGCCTGCCTATCGGCTGTCTACATACATATACATGAATAGGACCGAGAAGAGATATAGCAGCGGTCAAACCCCCAATAGACAGGAAACGGGCAGAACGGGGATTGTCAAAAGACGATGATGACTTCCTACCTAGCCTAAGGCACTGTTAAGGCAAGTACTAACAGCGACTAGCAAGGTAGGTGCTGTGGGCACATGCGCTACTGTACGTTTACTTAGGTAGAATGAATACGTAGCGCTCGCTATCTGGCCCCGTTCAGACCCATTCTTAGGTAGTAAGGTTAGCTGTTTCACCGATAAGAGCTTCCACCTTATCCGGAGCTTATCTATGTACCTACGCATGTAGCAAATCAACTGCCGGTAAATAATAGCTTTAACTGGTTGGTTAGACAGACTAGAACTTGAGGTCAGAGGGGTTCGAACACCAGGTTGTGTCCGTATACTTCCATGTACTAGATATGCAAGTATGTATAAGCCCATTGCCTATTTTACGAAGGTTTTCATACATAAATATTATGGATATCATATTAGGTATGTATATAGAGTAAGCAAGATTTGTTCTGTTCTGGTGACATCCTAGCGCCCGGCCTCGATGGTCTAGACTACTACTACACTCTTGAAAAGCATGGAATCAGCCGCTTTCCATACCTAGTACATGCTGTAGTACCGTGGACATGGTACCCCCACGTCTCACGGTGAAACTCCACGTTTGTGGCTGGGACAAACTTAGCCTTAGCGTGGAGGTGCGGAATCAAGGGAAGACCTTACCTACCTTCTTCACAAGAAAGGAGGTTCGAGTTGAACGTTGCAGTGAAACTTCCTGAAATAAAAGGGAGTCCTGTTTCGGTGATAACCTCGATGGAACAAAACTCGGTTTCAGCGGGAGTATTGGTATAGTCCCGATGTTGTCTGATGCGAGCGTAATCCAAACTGAGCCGTCAGTCATTGCCATGCCGAGGAGACTACAAATGTAGCCGAAGCTCTCAGGAAAGAACTAACAGCATGTTCAGTCAATTACAAACTCCGCATGACCTCTTGGCCGCTTTCCCTCTTGCTACATTGCCAAATCTATTTTCTAAGTTGCCGTAGTAAATTCAGTCTCAGCCGTCCGTCGCTTTAAAGGTACGAAGGCGCGTAAGGCTAGCTAAAATCTTGGAATCTGGCCAGCGTAGTCGCAGTCAGTCCATGAGCGACTTTTCTCAATGCTCCCGGGCTTGGAAAAAGCGATCGACTCTCACATTGAAGAAACTCTTGTTGGCAATCAAAAAGAGTTGTATCATTATCTGGCATAGTTAGTTCTGGAAATTCACTCGAGATATTCTACCAAGTACTCAAGCTGGTCGTTACACCGTTAAGTCTGTCTAAGGTAAATAGCGATGCGCACACACTCCCCCTTCCCCTTGCACCTGCTGGTTTTTCTTCTTCAACTGCCTCACGTCCGTTAATCTGTGAGATCTGCCTTGTGATGTATACAGAACAGCGGTCAGCGGTGAGTATATAGATCCATGCCTACTAGGCACCTAGCTATTTACTTTCCATTCCAACTAGGCACTCTGCCTGGCTTGTATCAGTCCTAAGAACCTCTCATATATCCCATTATTATCACACTTCGTCTTCTAGTTTACATGGCACATTCAGATATCATGTTCTACAACCGCCATCCATGCCACTGTATATGTTACTAGGCATGCACTCGCCATCGGTCGTTTACCTTGCTGCACCAGAAGCCCACATGCCGATAAACATGCCGAGCTATGCCGACCTGTCGAACTCAGGTGCACGCGCTTCAGCGCCCGACCGTGGTGACCACGTACATTCAGTCGCATTCTCCCACGAGCCACAGAAGAGCCGTTCGACGCTCCGGTCCCCTGTCCACAAACCTAGATACTCTGAACAACATCAGCAGTATTTGGATGACTCGTGGGAAGAGTTCGTAGAGCGTACACCACAGGAGGATGCTGGTGTAGAGGAAGTTCGCAGTTAGGTACTGGAGGCGTTTCGCCGAAGATGTCACCCGGATCCTGAGGTAAGGAGACTGCGCTGCCAATTCTAGAGCTAACTGTATTGAACACATGCTGGAGAAACAATTGCGGTAGGGTTGCGTGGCTGATATTCTACAGAGAGTAATGAAGGAATTCCACTGGAAAGGCAGAGATCTCCATTCACAACGTCGGTACATTGCTCTACGCTTACGATTCCGCGGAGAACCTTATGGATATATGATTGCACATGACATTCATGATGCTGTCAAGGTGAGTTCATTGTCACATTCAACCATAGGCCCTGGTTTACACTCTGTGTGAATCTTCTAGATACAGTATTTATCAGTCATCCACGGATGCTATAAGAAGGAACGGTACACCTTGCCGACTAATTTTTCTCAGTTATCTCGTATCCAAACCCGTAAGCGAAGTAAAAGGGCCAAGAAACAGGTTAAAAAGGACAAAAAATCCGACAAGAAGGCAACATCCACACCAGCTTCTACGTCTACACCACAAAAGTCTTCTCAATCATGGCCTCCTGATCACCCGGATGGAGCAAATAAGTCTAAAGAGGTTGAGGGTAGTACTAAAAGGGAAAAGAAGAAGCCGGCAAAGCAATCTGCTACTAGATCCTCGAGGGCCTCATCCGAACCACTACTAAACGCTGCGGCACCCTCCCGCAGTTCAGAAAATCCCTTCGGAGATCCCATCACAGAGTTGAAAAAACCAAAGTCGAAAATACACTTGAGAAAGAAGAAAGGGAAGAAGACGAGAAGTCTCGAGTCATCAGTGGACGACGAGGATCCATTCCGAGACCCGGGGCCGATGCGACTCGTCGACGCAGATGATCTTCGACTGGAAGACACGGACCAGTCCGGGTCTTCTTCGAACGATGCTCGTGCACCGCACAGGTCTAGGCATCATAAGTCCAGGAAGCATGAGAGAAAGCACCGAAATAAAAGACGAGAAAAATGAAAGTCTAGTATAGAACCAAGTCATTGGGGCGAGACCAATGCAAATGGTGTTGCGAGTACGTACGGGAGGATAGACGATATCCCTAAGCGTTTTCTTAGGAATTAACACCCTGAAACCTAATGTAAGCCGGCCTCAGAAAAAGTAGATAACCAGTCAAATGCCTGCTTAAGTAGGTATACTCAGAAGCGACTCATAGAGAGTTGTCGTTTTGTCCTCAATAATCCTAGATTTTGGCTAATTCACCACATGACATTAATGACACGGTGCGTTCCATTTCAATTTGAACCGCCAATGGTAATAGAAAGTGTCTAGACATGTATTGTTATAAAACATGCGCTACTAACAGTTATCTATATTCTGGTATAATTGGAAGAAAAAGCATACCCAGAGCGGGCTTGCATAAGTAAAGCACGCTGTCTAGTCTCATACTAGAACCCGTAAAAAGAAAAGAGTACATGTTATGCCTGACGTTCATTTAAACCGTTATCCAGCACCCTTATCACCCCAAATACCCAGCGAGGGCGCCCTTCATGCGATATAATGCGGTCGAGGTGGAAAATCCGCCAATCTCGCAGAAGGTCTGCCCGAAACTGAACTCTTTTCTGTCCTCGTCTTAGGCCAGGAGATCCTCCTTAAAAGTGCCACTATCACCATAACAGAGGAATCTTCGTAGGGTGAATTCAGGACAAACACACGTCATGGATGGTATTTTATAACGAAAATTCGCTTATAGTAGCGCTAGTCCTGGAGCTTATGCTAGAACGACCAGACGAAGAATATGTCGGCGAGCTAGGCGGAGATGAGTAACAGCTTCCAGATTTGTGCATGCGCTTCTTGTCACGAGAACGCTGCTTCTCAACTTCGTCAATGAGTGCGAGTGTGCTTAGAACTTCAGGATCCAGCTCCCACACGGCAACGGCGGGCTGAGTACGCAGAGTGGGAGGCGTTTCTCTCTCAGAACCGTCCTAGTGGTTTTCAGAGGTATCTATCTGGGCATTACCATTGCCTTGCTGCTGACCGTTGTTGTTTGGCTGGACCACAGCGTACTCGTAAACCGACGTGACAGGCCACAGAAGAGCGACCCCACAAGCAGACAGAAAAGTTGCGAAGAGCTGCCACAGATAATACAGTGAGGAAGCGCCTAATGGCGCAATGAACTTGAGAAATTCATTGACTTGATAATGGTCCTGTTGGCCACGGATGAAGTAGCGCTTCCCCGATGCCTTGCCGACATTCTTATTATCGCCATGAGACAATAGTGGCTGCTTGTTCTTATCCACTTGCAGATGCTCCAGGTTTAATAAGCACACAAGCTGAACGTTGGCCTGCCATATAGAGAAGGGGACGATCCAGATCGTGAAGGTTTGTCGAATAGTGGCGTAGAGAGAATTAGTCTTTTTATCGTGAGCTAAAAGAAATGATTAGCCTTCCATCCTATCGTGGCTTATTTTACAGGTTCTAAATAAGGAGAGTCATTTCTCTTCTAGAGGTTGAAGGTCGACCTTGGGGCGTGCGTTGCAGTGAACATATATATATATATATATATTTAGGCAAGATCGACTTACCTACTGAATCAACCTCCAGCAATATCCTAGGACTCAAGATTCTATACCATTGATAGATGAGTAAGATCAAAAGGCGCGAATTGATTGTCAGCTGAAAGTTGGTGAGAGGTACGCGGACTTGTTTAGATCCGAACGAGGGCACGCGACAGAATGGATGGACAAAAAAGGCGTCGGGAAGGAAATAGTCGTCCAGGACTTTCTGTTGTTCTTTACGGGTGCCCTGTGTTAAAGATCGGATAACGCCTGCGATTTCTGCTTCTGGGTTCTCCATGGTGCGCCAAGTTTCTGTGAGAAGCTCACTTTATTTATATGTAGGTAGAGATGTAAGGGTCAAAGTCATCCAATGGCCTAGGGATTTAGATGGTCAATTAACTACACGATGATAGTAAAAAAAGAACGTGGCTTTAGTGATGCTAAGATGTTTTGTCGGACCAGCAATACCTAGCAGAGCTGCTTCGAAATATTAAAGTTGAGTCCCTATGGTAGATCAGCATAGCGAGGTAGGGTAGTGGTTGACGAACAGATGTTGATGATGTCATCGTCGATCACAAGTAAATGGGCAACGCGATGTTAGGACCCGCACCTTTTCATTCACATGCCAAATTTGCGCTCCCGCGCCGATAGAAGTTCGTCATAGTTAGGTAGGGACTTGATTAGCTAATTCTACGGGGACCTCTGCTATGATTTCAATTGCTCCTTGTTCCTCTGACGATTGTATCGTTATCGGTTGACTGGGCCGTGGGGGATAACTTCAATTGCTACCGCTGTCAGCAAGTCAACGCATTTACATCGTAAAAGAGGTAGGTAAGCTTCTAATATAGGTAGGTATGATTTGAACCTACAAATTTGGAGGAAAAGAAACAAGGAGACAATTGGCGAGTACATTACAGTCATGTCTCATTTAAAAGCGAATGGCTGGCTACCTTTGGAGCAAATTGATTCGAGAGCCTAGGTAAGTCAGTTGGACGCTCAAGGACTTTGCACAATAGGACTATCATAGAAAGTCATGACTTGGAAAAACATCGCATACTACGAGATTACAGCTCCTATGAGTATCATACAAACAGATTGCACAGAACTATCCAAACACCCAGACTACGCCGCTTGGGACATTGACAAGGCAATAATAAAGACGAACGCCAAAAATGCAAGCCCTCAATACCCAAGACCAAAAGTTATGCGAGAACCCTATCCAAGTCCCATCGTGTTCATCCATGCTGCCAGAAACCATAATCTCCCACGGCCTTTCTGCTAAATAGCGTAGAGCGGATAGACCCAGGCAACACCTATTCCTACACAGGCATGTCGTTTCTCATTCGTACATAAATCTCATGCCCTTGAACCACTCCTACGCCGACTCACATCCCGTACATAAATATCTTCTCTATACGGACTTCTCGTGCGCTGGCTTCTCATGCTATCCCTCCTTCTCCGCGGTGGTGTGCGGTCCTCCTCAACGACAATCATGTCATCTCCTTCACTCAGCACACTTCTAGGCGGCGGCGGCCCTCGGCTCATGGGGCGGGATCGCGACCGAGATCTCGACTGAAACTCTTCGACGACAATTTGGTCCTCGTGTTCGACCCGGACGGGAACAACTCTCTCCCTCTCCCTTCGAATCTCGACCGTCTCGTGCCGCGGGGAATGCCTGCTGCGCCGATGATGTCTTCGAGGCGGACCGCGCGGTCGTGAGTGCCAGGATACCACGGATGCAGACCCACCACCAACCGACCCCTCCTCGACCATTCGCGGTCCCTGCCCGATATTTATGCACCAGTATACCAATCCAAGGAGTAGTAGGAACCCGGCGACCGCGCCGAGGACGATGCCGGCGACTGTCCCAGGTTCTGGGCCGAATGGTGCGTTCCCATAGCCCTGGGGCACTGTATCGGCGCCTACCAGAGCGCGGGGTCCAAGTGTTTCAGGGGTGTCATGGATTGGTATAGGGTAGCGCAGACGTGGCAGAGATATCGATGCGCCATCGGATGTATGGACTAGAGGCGACATGCCGTCGCGAGCGTTGATGGTCTCAGGCTAGATTGGACGATGACAGAGTATCGCCCTTCGCAAATTCAAGATCGCGCGCGATGGGAGCTTTACGGGTATCATCAATCATACATGGACGTCATAGGGCAGCTCCGTCAGATAGGGCATGGGAGCCGTGACTACGACGATAATAACGATGGCGATGGCGATGAAAGCCGAGAGGATCGTGGTTTCGTTTGCCGTTCGTGCCAATTTTTAACTCAAATCTGGGGGAGCATCTAAATTTTGGCGCGACACAGAATGGTTTCAGAAACGAGCACAAACGGGATTGAAATGGTTCGAGAAAGTGAAACGTGACGGCACAAACACGAGGTTGGCGAAGCGCATGACCGCGGTTAGCGACACTGAACAACGAAGGTTTTGTGTATGCTTGTGTGTGCTTGTGTGACGAATGATAGCCGTGGACAGGACCTGGACAGGACAGCCGGCCTCTCCCGCCGCTGGTTTGCTTTGCGTTGCTGTTATGGCGCAAATGGGAGGTTGGCGTCGGTGGAGGACGGACGCTAGGCGCGGTCGCTAGCAGGGGTGCTGCTGCGTGCTTAACAAACCCTCCCAAGGTTCAATCAATCAATATTGCTGGTTTCTATGTAGAATCTAAAGTCACATCATTGTATTAGGTATTGTAGGGAAGTATCTGACGATATCAACCAACATCTTAGTATATTGAGGCAGGCCGTCAATCCAGAGAAAGAATGCTGTTCAAGAGCAAAAGGTAAGTAAGGTAAACTAGGTAGGTAAGGATGAACCGGAGTGATGGTAGTCTAACCTCCAACACCTTACCGTATGTATTGCCCGAGTTGCTATTGTCATAACAGCGTGAGTTTATTCGACCTAAGCTAGCGGTTGGCTGAATCGGTTTAAGAATATTGCAAAGATGGTAGATAGTCAGGATAACAGAAGTAGGGATTGATGCATTTTTGACCATGTTTGCTGCCCATCTCCCCTTGTCTAACTAAGTACTACCTAGTATGTTGCTTCTCAGGCGAGGACAAATCACAACATAGAACAAAAGAATGACAAACAAGCTTAGTAGATAGTCCACAGCAACCAAGTCACAACAGACTACGGTAAGCCCACACCTAATAGTGTCGCTATTTCAGGCAACAATGATGCTTAATTAGTAATAGTTAGTCCAGTTACTGTAGGTAACTTCCCGCAAGGATTCGCCTAACAATTTGCGTCAACAAAATTGCAACTTGGTCTATAGCTGAGCATGCGGGTTGAGTCATGGCTGATAATCCATTAATATTCTTTCTAGGTCTATTAGCATCTCGCGCCATGTAGAGCAGAGCAGCAACTACAACATACCTACACTTACAGCAATGTTCCACTGATTGGGAATCACGGCATGCCGGTCTCTCCAACACCCGATCCGACCAATTTTAATTTAGAGTCACCTGACTACGCGACACGAAAAGCCCGAGCACCTAGACAAAGTTTATCGCGCACCGCGCGTCCAGCTGAAAAAGCTGTTGAGGCGGGGTAGATACCCTGTCTCGAACCCATCTCTAGTCTACCTACTTATCTGGTACCGTCAATAGGGTACAAAACATCTCCAACTAACAATACCTATAGTATCAGTGTGAGTCATTCAACGTCTACTATCCTGTAAAGGGCACAGTAGAAGTCCTTTAATGTAATCTTTCTTCCACAAGGGGTAATCCAAACAAACGTGTTGCATAAGAGTTGCGAGAGAGATCCAATCAGATCCGCTAGCCAAGTGTCTTGGACCTCAAATCTTGGGCCACTGACATGGTACTGTATGGGTGTACTGCATAAGTAGAATGTAGGTGTGATGTCGTATCTAGCGGCAGACGGGCTTCGGACAACTTGGAGGAACCGATCTCAATAGTATCTGAGAAGGCGGTCAGACAGCTTTGGATGCCAGTAAGGCTTGACGATGAAGGGTCATACACCGTTGCTGCGGTTCAGAGTTATGGTTAAGTGTTATGTTACGATAGCCTTGATCGGTATCATAAATCCTATCTCCATGCAAATCAATATATAAATCCATATGCCTCCGCAGCTCCTTGGTTCCAGATTCCTTCTTCATAACACACCTCAACATCAAGTTACATTCCTAACTGTTTCAATTTATATCCAACTTCCTTCGTAACAGACCTCAGTTTCCGCCCATTAAATACTCATAATGGCTGAACAACAAGGACCCCTCAAGACTTACCGTGGCAACTGCCACTGCGCTGCATTTGTCTACGAGATCTCTGTGCCCGAGATCAAGCGGGCATTCACGTGCAATTGTAGCATCTGCTACAAGAAGGGCAGCATCTGGGTCCTTCCTAAGCGCAGCGATGTTAAGTTCGTGAAAGGCGATCCGTCAACATTGACCGACTACTTCTTCAATAAGAAGCAATACGCCCACAACGTTCGTCTGTCCAGTTCATGTCGTGTGACAATTGTCGGAAAATCGACAAATATCCACCTCGTAACCGATAGACAGGAGCTAATGCTAATCTGCAGTTCTGTCCTACATGCGGAGTCTCGCTCATGTTCGTTGGACACTTGAAACCGCTCGAAGCCGGCGAGGATAGGCTCCCAGATTACGGATTCAATGTATGTCTTTGAATCATCAAACGTCTCTAGATTCTCTATAAGTGACTTTTGAACAAAGCTGATTGTTGTCTAGCTGCGCACGTTCCAGCATGGTCAAGTCGATGTGTACGACCTTGAGACCGACACGTAAGACCTCATGAATAACCTTATGTTAGTGTTGGTCAAATACTCATTGCTTCATATCTAGCTACGATGGAAAAGCGATCCCTCCAGCTTACGAGCCCCCCAAGTTCACTGGACCCCTGCCCACAGGATTCGACGACCTTCAGCTGTACACTGGGAGCTGCCATTGCGGCGCCGTCACCCTTGCAATGAAATCGCAGCCTCTCGACAAAGACACCAAGGGACTGGTTGAATGCAACTGCAGTATCTGTTCTAGGGTGAGTCTGCTCATGTATTGGCTACATGTTAACCCCCCCTGTTTCGAAGAACTCTGCCAAGCGTAGCTAACATGCCGGACGCTCTAGTACGGCACGCCATGGACTTATCCACGCCGCGAACAAGTCGCAATTGAGGGAAAAGAGAACCTTACGCAGTATATTTTCAATAAGAACATCGCAATCAAGAATTTCTGCAAGATCTGTGGCGTGGTTGTTAGCTCGAATGTCGCGGACCTGACTGACGAGGAGGCTGATAAGCTTGACCCATTCACTAGAGGATTCTACGATCAAGCCAAACCCAATGTTGCTATCAGCCTGCGGTTCATCGATGGCCTAGACGTTCAAGACTTGAAACCGGACCGAATGGATGGCTACTCAATGATCCAGCCGGGGTATGTTGAGCCATGAAGAGGGGTCTGGGCGATAAGATGGTAGGGTGCAGGTTTAGATTCCTAATCTAGGACGATCATCTCTCTCCGCTTAGTTACCAATATCTATCAAATATGACTAACTGATGAGAATCATTTGGTTTATTGATCTGTGGCTATTGGCTGTTCTTCTGTAGGACTTAACTCAAGGCCTTGCCCTCCTATCGTAGTGCTATTCTTTCTATATCGCGCCGTATCCCAACTAGGTATTCCGTTATCGTCGAAATCCGCCCACTGGAAGAAAGAGCAGTTCACCTGACCAGGGACATTACCACGATGACACACTACGACGCAGTGTTAGCCCTTCGTCGCACGCATAGTAATGCGTTCCGTAGTAATGTTCAGGTTAGATAGACCTGATCAGTATAGTGACAAAAGACTAAAGAACAATCAGAACTTACTCCAGAAGTATCTCCCCCAATTATCCTTCTTTCGTTGCACAGTTCTGAGAATAGCCGGAAGATTACATTTGCATCTCGGTGTGAAATTTGGGTGAAAGTTTCGCTTGTAATCACGGTAAGTGATGTTGATCCTTCGATTACCGGCGATAGGATGCGGATCAATAGCTTGAGCAGGCGTGATCGCATGCTTCCATTCTTCCTGCATACCAGAATGCATGATGAGGAGTGAGTTATGCGGCAGATGTATAGATATCTGCCCTTGTGCATCAGGATCGTCTGTCAGGTTGTTATCTGCATCTTTCGGTACTATGCGACGAACGCGAAACTCCCTTGCTACACCCAGAGAAAGTGAGCCGATAGCGGCCTTAGGACCCAAGTACGTTAAGTGGTCACTATGATAGCCAACAGATTCCTGAGGTCCATCGTAGCAGTTGACGAATGCTGCATTTGGCGTCCATTCATCGGGGCATTGGTATCTCAATTTCTTGCGGGACTGTAATGCCTTGTTGACTGCTTCTTGCACTTTAGGTCTCACCCTAAGAAGCTGGGGTGTAATTCGTCGAACATCCTATTAGAGGTTAGTGGTTTGGACACTGGCGAGGCTTAACTGGAATCTTGATGGGGATGGATCAAGAGGGCGAATGTTGAGTATCTGCAGTTTGAACACATTGGAGATTGGTCTCGAGTAGAATTACAAACTCGAACTCACCTCTAGACGTCCACCGTAGTAGAAGTACTCGTGCTTCTGGGTATTCAACTCAGCCTCTGTCGCTACGTAAAAACTTGATGAATGCGGACTCTGAACGGTATTTTCAAAAAGTTTGAAAGTGACCCTCTTGAAAGATTTGGATTCTTCTAGCATTTCTCTCAGTAGGTCATTAGCCTCCTCTTGCGGGAGAAAGTTATGTATAATGCTACATGGCGTGTGCTCTGCAATGTCTTCAGGGTCGTATAAGTAGAGTGTAGTCCCTTTCTTAGACAGTAACTTTGCCTTTTTAGCCGCCTCGGCTCCTCCTCCTGCAGCGGATGACTTCGACGCAAACGACTTTAGCGAAGTCTGAGCTCCGACAGTGGCAGCAGCGCAAGGCTTCTTTGGCTCTGTTTGGTTGTCGAGCAGAGAAGAGGCAGCTTGGTCAACAGAACCCTCTTTGGCCAGAAGAGCGTCGAGCAGTACTTCCTGGGTTAAATTCGGGAGTAAAGAGGCGAGTAGTGCGAGCTTCATCTCAGTTGATTCCTCGACGTCATCCTGACCCGATCCTTGGGTGAGGGAGGATGATTTGCGTTTCGTACCTCGTAGAAAAGCGTCCATTTTGCGGGGTGTATGACAAGAATGATGACCCTTTCATGATGTTTCTCGTCTTCATTGTCTCCGCGGATGCGCTGGAATTTCTATTCAAGAATCATATGTTAGTCAGGCCGCCGTGTCGATATAAGCTGGGGGCCGATTGCAAGCTAACACCTTCCAGCTTCCGTTCACCTCCGATGCAGCTGCTGGCCGTGAATACTTACTTAAGCCCCAGTACTGGAATTCAGTACCTAGGTAGATTATAACGATACCTAGGTAGCTGCTCGCTGCCGAATCTCCAGGCTCCAGGGCTCCGACCCACCTGAAGCGCCTGCCCCCCAGGCCGCTAGATACTACATGTACGTGAAGCCGAGGCCCCACGTCACTTCCCTGGTTGCTTGACCCCAGGAATGTGGGAGCTCTAATCCCGCTTCGATATGGGGTCAGAGACACCTTGCGAATGGCATAGTTTCTTACTTTTATAACTCTTCGAATGTGACGAGGGTCTCTAGACTCTGTTTGGCATAGTCTCAGAGACCTTGAATTGGATTTCAGTATAAGCGCGCCTGATCATGGCGTCCATGCTAGAATTCCGCACGCCTGGCTTCAACCCCTACGCCGTCAAATATTCTCCCTACTACGACTCGCGCATTGCCGTCGCCTCAGCCGCTAATTATGGTATTGTTGGGAATGGCCGGCTCTTTTGCCTGGGACTAGGTCCCCAGGGCGTCCAGGTAGAAAAGACGTATGCGACTTCACCTCCCCAGAGCACAGACGGTCCGGTCCTGTTGCAACCCTACTGATCGTACCCTCAAAGCTTCGATACCAATGATGCCCAGTATGATCTCGCCTGGTCCGAGATCAACGAGAACCAGCTTCTTGCTGCTTGCGGAGATGGGTCAATAAAGCTCTACGACGTCAATGTCAACGACTTTCCTATTATGAACTTCCACGAACACAAGCGCGAAACGTATTCCGTGGCTTGGAATCCTGTCACCAAAGACACTTTCGCGTCGAGTTCTTGGGACGGAACTGTTAAAATTGTATGATCACGATCTGGCTGAGTTTCACTGTCAAGCCTTATCCCTCCCGGAAAAGCTAACACAAACTGCTTCAAAGTGGTCACCAACGAGAAGAGAGTCCATCAGAACGCTCCCTGTCGGCAATTGCACTTATAGCACATCTTACTGTCCCTCGAATCCAAATATTATCTCGGCCGTGTCGACCGACTCACACCTTCGCATTTTTGACCTTCGGACGCCTGTCACCGCTCAGTATCACCTCACAGCTAAGATCCCAGTCCATCAAGCGCCGTCTACGCCCATGCCTCCAGGCATCTCACCTCCTTTCATGCCGGCCGAGATATTGACCCACGATTGGAACAAGTATAGAGACACGGTCATAGCCACAGGAGGTGTGGATCGAGTAATAAGAACTTTTGATATAAGAACCCCAACAGCGGGGCCCGCGTCCATCATGATGGGTCACGACTATGCTGTACGAAGGCTGGCCTGGAGCCCGCACGCCGCCGATATCCTTCTTAGTGCTAGTTATGACATGACAGTGAGACTGTGGACCGACGGTTCTACCATGCCCGCCAACGAAGGCTCACCGCCCGTAAAGCCAGGCCTACAGCTCGGAATAATGAATAGACATACAGAATTTGTGACCGGTGTTGACTGGTGTCTCTTTGGTGTTGCTGGCTGGGTTGCAACGGTTGGGTGGGACGAGCGAGTCTTGCTGTGGGATGCTAATATGATGCTCCAGGGAAAAGGTTGACCGATATTGCTCGAGGCTTGTCCGTCAAAATTCTTGGTATGATATGCATGGGAGGCGTTTTGGGAGCAAAGAGAGGACTTGTTTCATTGATACCACCAAGTATGCGTTTAGAAGAGCACAATATTTCATGGTACAGCTCATGGGTCGAAAGGGGGGGACAACTAGAGCTCGTGCAATAAAAGTTCTACGGCCAATCCTCTTTGAGCTGTACAGAGAGCAACTTTCTCTTTGTCAACCTTCCAGTGTGGATCATGTAAAACATTTTGGGAACTGGCGCCTCTTTATCCATCCTCCATGCCTACCTGCCTACAGGATTCTAGTTGAGCTGTCATCGGTGCCAGATCTCTACGCTCTGGTTCTTTCCTCAGTCGGCAGCAGGGCAAAGTCTATTCTTACACTCTCGCAGCAGTCCATCAATTTAACAATACTACCACCACAGCACTTGGCAAAGCTAGTTATGTCAAGTGAGCACTTCCATGACTTCTAGTCAAACCGAGTCCTTCGAGATGACAATAATCGATATTGGCTCAACAGCTACTAACCTTCTTTTCTCCTCTTCTTCCTCATAGTACACCAAACTATATCCAATCCACAGCACATCACGCATAAGCACTGTGGGTTTTCGGCTGGGAGAATATCGAGAGCAGGTTCACAGCTCCAACGCAGCAGAAATGGCCTTCCGCAACAACAACAAGTATCCCAAGGATCTATACCCGTACCTGAGTAGGCACAAACGAGACCTGTCATGGCCTCATTACGACTTCACCGAGGTAAATGATCTCGAACGGCTTCATCCCACTATCTAGGCACCTAACACCTACACCTATCTATCTACCGACCTCACTTCCCCTACACCTCGTCTCCACTAACAACTACTACTCGGCGTCTTTTCTCACCTTATCTAACACGCAATGACCACAGGACGGTGAAGCCCGCGTCATGCCCTGGGAGAAGTTCTGCCGCTACAAAGGCTGTCCCTGCGCCACCCGCTTCCGTCGGTACAGCGAGCTCTGGCTGCACCTGAGGCGGACCCACGGCCTCAAGATCGCCGGCCGCGCGACCTTCCGTTAGTCCCGGGAGGGTTCGAAGCTGGACGCTATCGGTACGTTGGAATTCGCTTACCCCCGCAAACACGCACGCACGCATCTCTCTTTTCGACGTCCTTACATAGTGAGCTGACACCATCGCGTATTGTTTTGTTCCAGACTGGATGGTCCAAGTCCTCATTAACGGTCGCCGAGGTATTCCCTTCCCGGACTGCAAACCCGGGCGATGAATAACTACTGCCTATGTGAGGAGCCCGTTTGCCGAGGGCTATTCGTAGATTCCTATTTTAGGGCGGCGTCAAAGGGAGGCAACATAAAATAACTACAACGACTACACATGTAGACACCTTCTTGGACCTGTAGACATAGGCTAGGAGAGCTCAGCTGATACAATGCGTACACAACCCTATTTAAGTTAGTCAATCGAATCATCATCATCCTTCGGGAAGAATTGGGACTACTGTATGGAGTGAATGTTTGTTCATAAAATTAATACGTCAAGCGTCACCGATAGCCGTCTTCTGAGATTACGTATAGCCGCCATATAGTAGTACATACAATAAAGTAGAGATTTCGGCTGCCTCATTTCCGTCTTGTCTTGCGCGCGTAAATGAACCCCCACCCACGAGACTTTTTTATCCAGTCCTAAGGACGACAAACCCGACAACTCCGTTGACGCCCCTGAACATATGAATCATATACACATCTTCGATGTTGTAGACGACTATGAAACCCAGATTTTATACACGGCAAGATCAACATTTCCCGAAATTTCGATTGGTAATGTCGTAAAGGAGGAATAAGCGCTTCATAGATTTCTCATTGGAATAGTGTATTCCTACTTTTAGAAGGTGGCGTTAAAGTTCCTGCCTGACTGTGATCTATTATCAGCGCGCGATGAAAACTTGTCTTCAAAAGTGTTTCGGCGTGGATTGCCACGGTTACCAGAGTTGTTGTTCCGTCCATAATTAGAGTTTGAACCGTAGCGATCACCGGATCCTTGTCGGTTATTGAATCCACGTTGATTACCAAATCCACGTTGGTTATCGAATCCACGTTGATTACCGAATCCGCGTTGATTATCGAATCCACGTTGGTTACCGAATCCGCGTTGATTATCGAATCCACGTTGGTTACCGAATCCGCGTTGGTTACCGAATCCACGTTCCATAGATTCATCTTCATCGTGACCAATTCGAAGCCCACGAATACGAGTGAACCCGCGTTTCGCAGCGACGGTGGGGGACACAGCGGGGGGTTGTGCCCAGCCCAAGCCGCGTGTGCACCAGTTGTTCATCAATTCAATTGCCTCCTCGGCCGAGAATTGTCTGCCAAATTTCTGCCCGAGACTGCCCAAATACACGGCTCGAAAGAAATCCTTGGGGACACTTGAGTATCCCTCTTTGATTTGCTTGAAATAGCGAGACACGTCATCAGGCGCGGAGGAATCCTCTATATCATGTTTCGCGGCGGCTAGTACGTCGCTAGGCTTGATTGGCAGGCCGGGAAGACGAACACGCGCCTCCGGTATCTCTTCTTGAGCGAGAAGCAGCCAGCCTTTACCAGAGTTTCCGGCACGGCCTGTACGACCAAGTCGGTGGATATATGAGTCCCGCTCAGGTGGAAGACCGATTTGAATGACGTCCGTCACATTGGGGAAATCCATCCCACGCGCTGTAACATCAGATGAGAAAAGAACGGCAGATTTCGATTGGCGAAAGTAGTCAGCGCTTCTCGTACGCTGGGCTTGAGTTAATCTCGAATGGATCTGGTAGATCTCTGTTCCCCCACGACGTCCGAATAACCCAGTCTGTCTGAAGACTTCATGCGCAAATTGAACATTGGCGGTGGTAGAAAAGAATACAATAGCCTTGAATGGCATATCGGAAGATTGAGCAGTCTTCGCTTTGTCTATAATCTCCATAATCGTCGGGTAAACGTTCTCATAGCCTTGGACAGTGATTAGATGCTGGGGAACTCTTTCATGCGTTGGTACTTCATCTGCCTTTATCGTCTGCACAAATTCGAAATTATCAGGGCGGACCATGCTCTTGGCAAGGTGAACAACGTCGCGGGGTATAGTGGCAGAGAAAAGCAGCGTTTGCCGTTCTACTTCATCCCGCCCAGGCAACGATTTCTGGATTTCCTGGAGCTCGTCGGAAAAGCCAACGTCGAGCATCCTATCTGCCTCATCAAGAACAAATGCCTGCAGTTTAGGAGCTGCCACCTTGGCACTTGGGTCGGTAAGCAGATCATTCAATCTACCCGGGGTAGCGACAAGAACATCGCAGCCCTCTCGCCACATTTTGAAAAGGGCCTCTCTTTTCCTGGTACCTCCCACAGCCGTTTGAACAACAATATTGGTATTCTTGGCGAGTTTCCGGGCCTCGACACCAATCTGTTCAGCAAGCTCACGAGTGGGCGATAGGATGATTGCACGAATATCCTCTGACGAAGCGCGACGAATGCCTCGCTTCTCGGCTAGCTCGGGCCGATCCATCAAAACACGCTGGAACACGGGGATTAGGAAGGCTAGAGTCTTTCCCGTGCCAGTTTTAGCTTGAGCAACCCTGGGATGGTGAATTAGCATTAGAAAGTACTACACAGGCGGCATCAAGAGAAGGATCTTGCTGACTTACATGTCGATTCCCTTCAAGGCGGGGGTGATTGACATAGATTGCACCTCGGTCATGTTCTCGTAGCCCATGCCGCGTGTTAGGGCATCGACGAGGCCTCGGTTAACATCGAGCTTGGAAAGATCGCTGAAGCGAGTGACAAGAGCTGATGGCGGAGCAGCAAATTCACCTTGCCGATTCGCTTGAGCGGCAGCGGATTCGGCTGAGTAGAGGCGCGATAAGGCATATGTAGGAGGAAGACGCCGTAAAGCGGGCTGCGATGATGCCTGGCGAAGGGCGGCAGCGAGACAATCAGAGCGAGCATTCCGCATCAATGCAGCGGAAGAGAATTGGCGAGCCGCATGGCCTAAGCGGGCATGCCGCTGGATAGAGGCCTTGAACATCACGGGCGGATGTGCAAATGCGAGCTGGAAGGGCGGATTGCAGAACGATGACAGAAGATAAAAAATATCAGAGAGAAGAAGAAGAGGAAGAAGATAGGAAGTGACAGGAACAAGAGACTGTTAGTGATGGGAGCGTGGTTGTTGTTCAGCACGCGATCTCAGGATTGCCCGAGGATGGAAGAGGCATTCAACTTTTTTTTTTTCTCTTCGCCTTCCCCTACAGTGAATGCTAAATGGGTTGCCCATTCTACCCACCTTATTCCTTCTAGTTCGAAAGGAGGTTAGTGCAGCTATCTAATCGTTATCTGTTGATAGATAGCACGCATCAGTCTGTGATTGGCTAGTTTTGAAGTAGAAAGTGGGATGGTATCCACGCCCAAGTCGTACCGAGTACGTAAGTACTCTACTGTTAGGTAAGTACTACGGTACCTACCATATGCACTAACACTACCTAATGTAGGTGGTGTGTAAGTACCCAAGTACATACCTAGGTTGGTCTTGAAGATAGCGATAACGACTACATAGGTACATAAGGTATCTAGGTACTTACTAGTGGTACAAATGGACAACGAGAACAACTTTGATATCTCAGTGCCACTTGATAGGTTAGGTTATCGAGTATTTTAAGTGCCTTGCAGCTCCGTCGAGCCGGTTTTGAGCCGTCCATTCACACAGGCACATGTGGACCATTACTGACCTCCGGAGGGTATTCGGCAGAGGCAAACCGAGTCAGTATCAGACATTATATTTTCTTATAGATTTGCCGTGTCGGTCTTCACCATGCAGTCCGCGTAGAGAGTCGTATAGAGTTGTTGCTTGTATGCTTCAACACTCTGTTGGTCGGTGTCTGATGCGTGATGCATGTGATTGATACATCACCCATAATCCACATCTTGCTCGTCCACTATTCTAGATGAAGGCCGCTAGATAGCGGGCATCCCGACATACCTACCGACTTTCAAACCTCCTGGAGGGCGTGTGGAGCCGGACCCTGATCCTGACCCAAGACAATTGAGCACAAAAAGCGTATCTTTAGTAGATAAAAGCAATGTGTGCCCCTTTTGCTCGCTATGCTACATCATCTCTCCATCAGATCGTCATCTTTACACCTGGTTTGTGTACTAAGTACTAAGATGACAGGCTTTCCTCTTCTTCATGACTTGCGGCACATCTCCTATTGCTAGTTGAACTATCTACATAAGGCAGTATAGGTCCCTTGGATGCGGCTCGCCGGACATAACCTCGTATAGTATTGCATTGGTCACCTCACGCCTTCCAAAAGGAAAAGGTATTGGCTTCGGTAAAAACTGGTGCCAGTACTCGATAACACGATTCTTAAATTGATTATACCGCTCATATGTTGAGAGGGCAAAGGGATATCAATCACTTATATACGAGACGCCTACTCACGAAGTCCAACATATCTACTTTGATTTTCTCGTTACCTGGACACCAAGAAGAAAGCGAAACAGTCAAGGAGCTGACAGACTTTTCCGGGGTAGCAGATCCGTTTAGGGCAGCATTGCTCAAGCGAAAACTTTACCACTGACATGGATCAGAAGCCTATTTTCAATATGCTTTTCACCTCGTTCCGATCCCGGGTGTCAAACTTCACATCCCTGCGCCTCTCTAGTATGGACTTGTCCCATCGTTGTACAGGAAGGGACGATTCGAAGGAGCTGGTGATGGCGAATCATGAGGTGGATGCCATGAGGGTAGCGCGAACTGAGGTGCCAACCTCAATACAACGTAAGGAGCGAGCACTGGAAGCTTCCGGCATTCAATGGAGGTATGCCGAGCAAGGTACGTCCTTCCGATTGTACTGTGATGGCTTCACATCTATGGAAATTTCGGGGCCGGACTAACGCGGTTCCTTAGGCATGAATTTACAACGCGTCGCGTATATGGATAAAGCGGACCCAGCCTTTTCGCGCAAATCTTACATTGATGGCATCGCATATATCTTAATGGCGCTCCCAGAGGACCTCAGCGATCGAGAAGTCGCTTCCATTCGGGAAGCTCTCCCACCGTCAATGTCGGACATGGACCTCATCAGTGAAGCGGACGGCAGAGCGATTGGCTGGACATCCGCTCCAGGAAGCCGAACCGTTCTGCAACGGTGCGTGGCTATCATGGTAGCCCTATCCGTGGTGGTGATACATACAATATTGTCATATGCGAGTATTGTGATCAGCGTGGGCGCATACTACGAGCGCAAGCATAACATCTCTGAGCAGATTGTTAGCAAGGGGTTTGTCATTGCCTCGGCTGTCGGGAGGCATAGTGTTTTTCTCAGTGCTAAGATTTGCGCCATGAAGGACGGGCCAATTGGGAAGGCCGTTAGCAACATGGCGACCCGGACCGTCGAGAGCGTCGCATCTGGTATCCAGGAGGGTATTGGACAAGGGCTTATGATGAGTGACACAAGGCCAAGGCGGCGGTAACCTACGCTAAAAAGGACCTTCATATCGGAATCACTTTCTTGGGGTTTAATGTCATTTTTGGTTATATTGCGTAATTGATAGAATGGTCACATTAGACGGGGTATATATATGGATACATATGGTTAGATAGAGCGATTTGTGAGGAGTTTTCAAGAAGAGGTGATCATAAGGGCCAATTTTGTTTCTGGTCCAGAACCCAATTTGCATTCCTTTCTCATTGTTAGGATTGGGGCCTTGGAACTTGACTATGTAGGGAACATGCAATGGATGATTGCTTAACAAATTTGATCTAAGTCGAGATAGCGCGAAGTCGATAAAGGCTATACACAGATTCGCCACTACTAGATCTTCGTTTACAAAATGGGCGTCTTCATGTAGAAGGTGACTCAAACTCAGGGGCTATATTCGTCTTTCCTGTAATGAGAGACCTAAATGTGGTCCCGTTCTGGATTAGGTGCATGGATTCCGTGAAATGTGACGGCGTGCAATAGCTATTTACAACGAAAAACTCAGGCAGTGCCACCACTAACTAGTTGTAGTGGTAGTCGATCTCTCGGTGGCAATCTTCGCCTCCATCTTCCGCCGTGCGGCTAAAATCATCTCATCACGTCTGCGTTGGAGTGACATTTGTCGCTCCTCGCGATTTGAACTCCACGCCTTCGTCTTGCCCCCTGAAACTGCGGGCTCCGGCTCCGGCTCCGGGTCTGCACTCTTCCCCATCTTGTCCTGGAGCTTGTATCGCGTTATTAGATCGGGTTCGATGGGGCGCAAAGGCGCTTTGGAGGGTTGCGATGCTGAGGAAGCTGTGGTTGACGCTGGTGCTGGCGGTGGCTGAAATGATACTGGAGGCTGAAAATAGCCGTTTCGTTAGCAGCGGTTATTTTAGAACGTGTCTTCGTTGGCAAGTGTTATGTGGCTTCTTTTACAGAGGGCAAGCAACGTGTAATCAAACTCCACAAATGCCCCGGGAATTGTAGGGTATGACTTGAACAGAAAAAAACTTGGAAGAAGGAATGCGTCCATGGGAGCCCACCGTTTCAGCACGCCCAGTCAGTATGCGCTCCGTTGTCATCGCCATATTTCCCCTGTTCCGTTGTAATTCCCACAGGATAGTGCGCCTATCAGCCTGTGGCAATACCTGTTGTATCCTCTCAACTGCCGCTTCGCGCGCTCGTGAGCTTGCTGCTGCATCTCTACCTTGCTGCGCCCCTGATGGCGCTGCTGACGATGGGAAGAACAGGTATCGGATCACAAGCCCGCCTAGTACCACAATCAAGACCAAGGAGGTGAGAGAGACCTGTTCGTCCGCCATGGTGGACTTGCTATGTATGTGGGGCAGTCGATTATGGGAGGATGAGAGATGCCTTCTTCGCAGTATTTTTGATTCGAAATTTGGTAATGAGGTATGAACGTCGGTGACAAACCAGGCTTGCGGTTGTCCCTCAATGCCTCAATCCCGCCTCGTTGGGTCTTCTCTTCGGGTACCTCGACCCAAAGTGCTTTGTATCGATATGATTTAGAATAGAATTGAATAGAAATTTCGAGTTTGCGATGCTTGGAAGTACGGTAATGGTTGCGAAGGGCTCGAAAGGGACAGTTAAGTTTGCACCATGGTTAAAATGAAGATGGTTGAGAATGACGTTATCAAAGAAGTGGACGGTATTATGTAGGCAAGTAGGTACATGTAGGTAGTAGATTGATTGATTACCATATTTAGTCTGTAGATAACGTCTGTCTCTTATTACTACCTTCTTATGTAATCTTGTACAACCCCCTGCCTCTTGGCTCTCCGCAGATTTTGGTAGTACATAGTAACTAGGTAGCATGTTGATAGTGAATGGTATCCAAGTAGGTATTTTACTTACTTACATTTACTCTGCATCTACCATTACCTAGGTACCTACATACATATGTATGTACCGAGGTAGTATTCCTGAAATCGGACAGTCTGCCTTATCCCTCCCCTCCCGTTTGTGTTCGTTTTCAAGACAAGAGGGGCCTTAATACCATAGGTTACAAGCAAGGTTCCGCAGTGTGTATTGTACGTACCATATATATTGGAACGAGAACACAAAAGATAAACAACCAAAAGGGAAGGATTCAAATAATGAGAAATAAAGATGAATAGAAACCGTACTACAGACTACAGTCCATACGAAGTACATACCTAGTAGATAGAGAGATCTTGGGAGATATAAATACAGTATGTATACTAAGAACCGAACTATTGACACTGTCCGAAACTACCTAGTGTACTCACATGCAGGGATAATAAGTGTGCCTAGTCAAGTATTTGAACTATATGACTCCACTCAACCAGGCCCCCCTTGCTTAGTAGAATACATAGGTAATTTGTATAAAAACTCAACCAAGGCAATGGGGTCCAATTTATCAACGCCATAACCTTCAAATTATCCCTACTTATTCGTACAGAAACAACCCTTCAAATGACCCCTATTCGTACAGAAACAACCCTTCGAATGACCCCTATTCGTACAAAAACTATCCACTAATATAACCACCTTCAACTTTTAAAACGCGTTCACACCTATCTGGTAAGCCTTTGAATAGCTATATTAACCACCACTTTAATACTGCTTCCTAAGCTTCCTAAATCTATTAGCGATATATTTCTTAGCTTTTTTTACCTAAATAGCTATAATGTTCTTTAATATAATCCTTCATTTAATCCTATATAGTTTTTATTAGGTTTAAATTTAATAAATAAAGGGGCTAATTAATCCGTTCAATCTTATAGCTATTAAAATCTTTAAATATAACTTTTATTATATAGCTAGGAGCGTTATCCTATATAAAAACCAACTGTTATAGGTAGGTTAAATCTTAAAGGTTAGGTATAATATTATAAATCTCTTTAATTTTATAATAGGTATTTAATAAAATTAAAGCTTAAAAAAAGGAAGAATCTTCTTTAAAGCATATATAAAAAGGGTATAGGATATATATAAAATATATATACTTTAAAAGCTTTAAAATGCTATAATATAATAATTATTCCTTTTTCCTTAATTAAATTATCCTTAACTTAATATATAACTAATTTATTAATTAAATATAAAGTAAAAAGTTTAATTATATAAATATATAATATAAAATATTATAATAAATATATTAACTTTATATTTATATTATAAATTATATATATTATATATTACCTTTATAGTAAAATTTATATATATATTCCTATTAATTATTTATTAACTTTTTTTCTT